GACCTAGCACCGACAACAACAATCTCTCTGGGCGCGGTCATCGGTTGATTTCAACTATGCTACCCGAAGGATTTGCTTTATTGTCCAGTTCGTGTTGCTGGCTACCAGTATGCTCCATGCAAACTTGTACGGGCTTTCCCTGTATTCTGACTATTGGCAGACTATACTTGACTTCATTTTTGCTGGTTCTATCACCGCAGTTGGCATGCAAAAGCTTCGATTTTTCTTTTTGGCCATTTCTGTCTTGACTCTGTCCGCCAGCATCGCGCGCGAAGGCTTCAACCGTGGTAATATTCGGCGCGCAATCATTTGTGCTAGTCTACTGGTCTGGACGCAGTATAGTCAGCGGGTTCAGGGTCATCATAGTTGTCACTGACTTCTACTGTCTTCCTGTTTAGAGACAGCTATCTTGCCGGGATGTCTGAATGAATGTTCTAGTATGGGAAGGGGATGATCTCATCTATCAGTAAGTCAAGGAGGTGATTCTAGCTTAGGTATCTTATGGTAGTCCGGAGATCGATACCTGGTACTATGGATACTAGTTTATTATAGGTTATTGCAACTGGTTTGGACGTAATTCTTTCCTTTACTACTTTCTAGGAATCTGAGTTCTGAGGCTGAAATAGGTCCTTGTCACCGGCAAGAGTTATAGGACTGCAGCAAAGTAGGTCGAAAACAGCGGGAGTGAACGGCATTTCTTGCGATGGCCTTTTCATGCTGCCAGGTCAAAGGACCGTAAATCTGTTGAAGGTGCCGTGCTAGAATTTGAGATTCAGCGCGCAAATGGCGCATCGCACTCAGCAGTGGTCATTTGGACGCAAAGTCTGGCTGTGCCAAGTAATCAATTCTTGCGGCATTATCGCGTTTCCTGAATCTTCTTGTGACATACATAACTTGTAATTTTGAAATCAGCCTGGACAACGGATATATAAAAGCTAGGCCTTGCACAGAGGGCTGTCCTCAAATATACATTCGGCACATACTTGACTCTACAATCATGGCTTACTGAGCAGCGTCTGCCACCTGAATCGAGGTTTAGCACCATCTTGGTGAACAACCTCCATTGTCCCTCATGTGCTTCTACAGTGAACGATACCCTATTTACTCTCAGTCCACCCCCTTTCTCCGTGTCGGTATCCACAGTCCTGCACGAGATCAAGGTTGCGCATCCCATTGATCTGAGTGCCTCACAAATCGTGCATGCCCTAGAAGATGCCGCCTTCGAGATCGACAGCATCATCGAATCTGGTGATTCCAGAAACGGTAGTCCTGAAAGCGAGAGTCTTCGAACGTGGCGCTCAGCCCGTCCATCAGTCGTCAGGCGCGCCCCTGACCCGGATCCTCACCATGAGTCAGAACAGCATATCCGGCAATGTGATGCATGCTCTGCACAGCTAGCAATGCAGACATCCAGCACTGGTGACGATCTGACAGTTATTCAAAAGAACCTCAGCCCCCGGGTCGTCGAGTCGGGCAGCCCCAGAGATGACGACCTCGTATCTGTCGTCGACGACCATCTGACGGGCACCCGCACTCGCATCACACTATCAATCAGTGGAATGTCTTGCAGTTCATGCGTCGGGAAGATTACCAATGCTTTGAACGACCAACCATGGGTGCAGTCGGCCGATGTTAATCTACTGACTAGTAGCGCGGTGGTCGTTCTCCTGGACCGGTCGCGTGTGAACGAAGCGCGAGAGACAATTACAGGCTCGGGTTATTCCGCCCAGCTGATTGATTGTGAAGATCTCCTGCCCAAGAGGCAATCGAAACAGTCGACGTCGGCCGACATATGGCGAGCCTCCTATGTTATCGGGGGCATGACCTGCAGCTCCTGCGTCGGGACAGTTACAGACACGCTCAACCGTTACGAATGGGTCACAAAACTGGACGTGAACCTTGTGTCAGGGAGTGCGACGGTAGAACTGCAAGGAAAGGAGCATCTGGAAGAGGTCATCGCCATTATCAGCGAATTGGGTTACGCCGCTACACTCGGCGAGGTCGAGAGTAGCACCCCATCCGAGCAACGAGCCTTGAACCGGTCCGTCACTATCCAGGTGGACGGGATGCATTGCTCAAACTGCCCCCAGCGGATTCTAGATGCTCTCAGCGTGTTTTCCAGTTGTCTCCAGGTGACGGACCCTCTTCGAAAGGGACACCCGCGGCTCACTATAGCATATACCCCGGACAGCCCCAATTTCACCATTCGGCATATCTTACATGCGATCGCCCAGGTGGATAAGGCCTTCACAGTATCTATTTACCATTCCCCCAGTCTCGAGGAGCGCTCCCAAATGATGCAACGTCGACACATGTGGCGCATCGCTCGCCGCCTGCTATTGGCGGTGTTGACTGCTATCCCAGCGTTTATTATCGGGATCGTCTATATGTCTTTGGTACCTGGAGACAATTCAGGGGTCATGTACCTCGAGCAGCCCATCTGGGCCGGTCAGGTCTCACGCATGGAATGGGCGCTGTTTATTATGGCGACCCCGGTGTACTTCTTCGCTGCGGATCTGTTTCACCGTCGGATGCTCAGTGAGCTTATGGCACTGTGGCGGCCAGGGAGCAAGACCCCAATCCTCCGCCGATTCTACCGCTTTGGCAGCATGGATATGCTGATGTCTCTGGGTACTACCGTTGCGTACTTTTCCTCCATCGCTATTTTGGGTATCAATGCCAATCAGCCCGCCGACGGCCACAGAGTCACCCATGTTGAGTCATTCTTCGATTCTGTTGTTTTCCTAACAATGTTCCTCATGATTGGTCGGTTGCTCGAGGCTTACAGCAAGGCGAAGGCCGGAGATTCCGTGGGCTTACTAGGCAAGTTGCGTCCGACGACAGCTGTCTTGGTTGCGTCGAAGGGGACAGAGCCCTCTTCTCCATCTGTTACACCGCACACGGTCCCGATTGATCAGCTGGAGCTCAATGATGTAGTCAGTGTGGCCAATGGTGCCTCTCCGCCGTACGACGGTATTGTTGTTGAAGGAACATCACGGTTTGACGAGTCGAGTTTGACAGGCGAATCAAAGCCGGTCCCCAAGCGCATCGGGGATGAAGTCTTTTCTGGGACTATTAACCGAGCAAACCCCGTTCTTATCCGCATCACCCATCTCTCCGGTGACTCGATGCTGGACCAGATCATCAGTGCTGTTCGCGAAGGACAGGTTAGGAGAGCACCAATCGAGCGCACGGCAGACTTGATCACGGGCTACTTTGTCCCTTTAATTACCATCATCGCTGTCCTGGACTGGATTATTTGGTTGTCATTAGGTGTCTCTGGCCGCTTGCCGTTGTCGTGGCTGGAGGGCGGGGCCGGTGGATGGGAGTTCTGGTCGTTGCAGTTCGCTATTTCTGTCTTCGTTGTTGCTTGTCCATGTGGGATTGGACTCGCTGCCCCGACCGCACTCTTTGTCGGCGGCGGACTTGCTGCTCAGTATGGAATCCTAGTTAAAGGAGGCGGCGAAGCGTTTCAAGAGGCTAGTCAGCTGGATTGCATTGTCTTTGACAAGACAGGCACGATTACCGAAGGGGTCCAGCCGTCTATCACCGACCACAAAACGGCCCACGAAGAAAACATTGATGAGGTCTGGGGCGCGGTATTGACGCTCGAGCACAAAAGCAGTCACCCGATTGCCCAGGCGATGGTGTCCTTTGCTGGCTCCAGGAGACCTCCGGCCCTCAGAGCCTCCGCTGTTGACGAGATTCCAGGGAAGGGTATGAAGGGATCCTTCCCTCTTGATCACCGGCCATCGTCTATCCTTGACATTATCGTGGGCAACGAGGCCTTAATGCTTGACCACGAGATCACCATCTCGTCTGCGAATGCCGCCATCCTCGCAGCTTGGAAGCGCGAAGCTAAGTCGGTCGTTTTGGTCGGAACTAGAGTCCGAGAAGGGGCTGGAGATATCGAAAAGGTGCATTGGGTGCTTTCTATGATGCTGGCTGTGGCTGATCCTGTACGCCCAGAGGCTAAAGAGGTCCTGCAGGCTCTTCGCAACAGAGGAATTTCCGTGTGGATGATTTCGGGAGACAATCCGACGACGGCTCATGCGGTTGGTAAAATAGTCGGAATATCCCCGGAGAATATCATCGCCGGGATTTTGCCTGAGCAAAAGGCAGAGAAGATACGATATCTCCAGAAGACGGTGCCGAGACCCTCCAAGAGGAGATGGTTCAACTGGGGGAAAGAATCAAGGCGCACCCGGCCACTTGTTGCTATGGTTGGCGATGGAATTAATGACTCCCCCGCGCTGACAGTGGCCGATGTTGGTATTGCTATCGGGTCTGGCTCCGAGATCGCAATCTCATCGGCAGAATTCGTCCTTATATCCTCCGGCCTGACATCGCTCTTGACTCTCATTGATCTCAGTCGCATTGTGTTCAATAGAGTCAAGTACAACTTCGGTTGGGCTCTGGTATACAATTGTATCGCTATCCCAGTGGCCGCTGGTGTCTTCTATCCCATCGTGAGCAATGGCAACCACATTCGGTTGGACCCTGTTTGGGCTAGTTTAGCGATGGCTTTGAGTAGTGTCAGCGTTGTTTGCAGCAGTCTGCTGATGAGGACTCGATTGCCATTGGTCGGTTTCAGGTCAGCTAAATAGAGTATCTTTGGTTAGGCAGGGTTCATTTTACCTACATGATTTCTTTTGTGTCCTTGGAAAGGCTGACCACCCTGTCAATGATTTGAGCGAAGTCTCTCGTGTTAATGAACTGAGCCTTGTCTGTTGCTACTCTAGGACTAGCCTAGAACAAGTTTAATAAGAATATCACCATCTGAAATATCCGAGCAGCGTCAATTCAAAAGCACCACAGCCCGGCTGCGGGTATAGACAAATACAAGAATATTGTACAGCCGGGCGAGCAACTTTTGTTGAAAGGTAGTAAATCCATGCTAAGACAACAAGTTTCAGGTCATAGTCAGTTATTGCAGAAAATAAGGTGCTGTTATTCTTTATTATTGCAGAGCGTCGATCCTTGTCATTTACTATCACGATCTAACAAGCAGCCTCTGTTACAATAACGGAGACGTCTCCTAGAACCCCGTGACTAGGGATACCAGAAATATTGACTAGATACTTTGCACTGTTAACGTTTGTCACCTCAAACTGATTTCCAGTCCGGGCCCAGGGACCATTCCAGTGCAGTGATGCTATTCGAGAGTCTCCATGGTATAAATCCAAGCTGCCTTCGACTCCCAAGCCGTAGACTGCACTTCCACAGAATGATGCCGTCCCTTCCTCGCCATGACATATCACTAACTTATTCACATCTTCAGGCGCCATCAGGGTTGGCTTCCGGCATCTGTTGTATGGTTCGCCACTTGTCACGAAGGTCAATACAACTTCAGTTCCAAGATAGGAGGATTCTTCAAATACCGCGTTACTAAGGTGTTTCTAACCGCGATAGTACCGCCTTGGTGTAGATTATTTTTGATAATGATCGATAGACGTTGTGTGATATGGTCATCCATTACTCTGGATTGTAATAAGATTATCTGCGGGGAATATATGGTATTATGGCGTCCTGTGAGATATCAATGGCTTTAATATTTGATCTTGAGCTGTTTTTGCGTCCTAAATACATCCTGGCGGTAAAGCATGTCATGTATTATGCCGCCTGGTAAAATAGAGTTTCCTGTAACCAAGGCGCCTTCCTCCTCCGACCAATCAGCAAGCCGTCCTTCTGCGCGATTTGTGCCCTCTATGTGAACCTAATTTAAAAAGCTGGGTGTGCTAAAGATAACTTAGTCATTTGTCCGCACCTAACATTAACGTAATTCCCGGTCGATCCGCCCACCTCCAAAAATCAATTACACCTGTCAAACTTGAAGCTATTCCCAACAACCCAATTCTTAATATTTTTAAAAAGCTAAGTCGCGCGACGATTAGGACATCTAGTTCTAATATGACCCTGAATATTACACTCAGAACAGGTTGGTGGAGCCCGTTTTCGTGGAGCTAAAGTTATCGGAGTAGTTTCGATTGCCTCACCACCTCCACCATCTATATTATTCGATTGCTCATTTCTCAACGTAATCAAGTCCCTTGCCTCTTGTACTTGGAGGCCTTGTACAGGGGCCATTTGACGCTTAGATCGACCTCTTTTTAGTTGCTGAACTTGACTTTCTGCGCGGAGATCGTTCAATTCCTTGAGGGTGAAGGCAGTGTTGTAAATCGCCAGTTCACAGCCCTTTATAAGCTCATCTATCGCGCGTTTCGACGGAGTTGAAGGAATATAAGTGCCTCTATCAAGAAGCTTCTTGACTGAGGATGCTTTTTTATGTAGTTGTCTTGCTGTATAAGGCGTGGCAAGAGTAGAGGAGCTGGTTGAGGCACCTCCTTGGCTTGGAGGGGGGGTCGGCGTAGATATTGTATAATTAAAGCGCTTAAGGACTTCCTGAGGATCATATGGCTCTATTCCAGTTGCTCGAAAGCCGCTCTGAATATTCGCCTTTGTAAAAACTCGCTGCCGCGCCTCTGGATATGCTTGTAAGAAGTCATGCTTGTCAATATGGTGGAACCCCAGGCGCATCTTGGCTTCAACCAGGCCTCCATAGGCCCGCTTTAGTGGTCCAAAACAACCAACATCTAGTGGTTGAAGGAGGTGCGATGAATGAGCAGGCATACAGATACAGATAATCTTATTATCTCTGCAGACTTTGTCGAAATCCGGGGTCAAATGGCTGCCGTGGCCGTCCAAAACTAGTAATCGATGACTCCCAATTGTCCGCTCAGTTGTATAAGGAATAAAGCACTTTTCAAGCCACCGTAGAGTTATCTGATCAGTGGTCCAACCATTCGCGCTTAATTCAATCCTCCAGTCTGCTGGGAGACCAAGTTCTTCAAACCATCCCTCAATATGGACCTTTCCTTTGAAAATAATGCAAGGCGGAACAACAAAACCTGTTGACCCGATGCACTCGATTGAAGTAACCCATTCCCGCTGGCCTGGTTGAATAATGTAAGGTTTACCAAGTATCTCAGCCCTTGTGACAACTCGCGTAGTTGCAATTTGTCCCATAGCGAAGCCAGTTTCATCAAAGTTGTAGATATCTTCAAGCTGGATGCCGTTCTCCTCTCGCAGAGCTTTAAGGTTGTCAAACCATTCTCTCATGGCCCTGGGATCCTCGCAGAGAGCTCTCTGACAGTTGTACTTGCGCGCAAATCGACTTTTAATGCTTTCATGGCGCTTAATAAAGCTTGTGACCCAGTTCTTTCCAAGCGGCTTGGGGGGGGTCGAAGAACCTTCTTGGAGAACAAGGTAGGCCATTTGCTGCACGTGAGAGACTTTTGGAGCGACTCCACGCGTATCTCTATCAATAATCCACTTCACTAAAGCCTCTTCCTGATTTTCAGATAATCGAAATGAATGGTTGCGAAGTTCTGGTTGAAATCCATGTCCCTTAAGGCGATCCCGGAGGGTTGAGCGTGGCACATTAAAAACCTCTGCCGCTCGACGAGCACTTGAGATTTCGCGTTTTTTTAAAGCTTGTATTGCGAGTTGGATCCTCCCCTCTTGCTCCACCAAGTTTTGTAGAGATTGACGCGGTTTTGGTGGCATGGTTGTTGTTTGACTAGCTTCAATAATTTAACGCGTTGAAATTTTTGAGGTGGGCGGATCGACCGGGAATTACGCTAGCCTATGGAAAAACAACCACCTACTGTCGATACCTAATTTTTGAAATTTCTCCACAACCACTGACTTATTTGGTTCAGACTGTGACCCAGGTTACTCGTCAGCTCTCAAGGTATCGCCCAGTACCAAGAAAGCAGCTGTAGCTACTGTTTCTCTTGGCTGGCTACCGTCACGTGACCTAGCGGGCGGTTGCTTTCTGCCGTAGCTATTCGCGGTATCGTATTGTCTTGTGCCCGATTGGTCCATGAATGATTGGCTGGCGTTGCTCCTTAGCGAACAGAGGCTAGCATCGTAACACTGGAAGCTTCGATGCAAACTAGTGCAAACAGGGGCGACCACTTCCTGCCTGTTCCCATCTTGCCCCTGGGTTTAGGCACTCAGCAACGCTGAGCGAAAACTAGCTAGCATAGCTCCAATGACTCTGCTTATTATCATATTCTGCTTGTCAGGAACCAGTATTGCTCTATTTTTATTGTACTTCTGCGTTGAAAGCTAACGCCATATGCTGTCAATGTAGGATCCTCGGTGGCATCTTCTGCCTCGAGGAGGTGAGCTTCGTGCCTTTGAACAGCAACTTTGCCACCTAAATAAGCGGGCGGGAACACCCCCCTCGTCCTGCCCTACTTCTGGCGACTTCGGCAGCGAACGAACGTCATATGTGGTTTGTCCCTCCCCCACCTATACGCATTGTGACCGAACTTCCCCTTGCATCAACCCATATTAGACCGCCATGGCTTCCTTGAGGTACCGAAGCCAACCCGGGGGTATCAGATATGGGGACACTCCTGGGTCTATAAACTATCTCATCGAATGGAAGGTGACCCTTAATAATAGGTCCTTGGTCAAGGACACCAAACAAGACCCGGTCTTCAAGCCTAATTCGTATTGGCGAAGAGCAGCTTCAACCGCTTCTTTCCTCCCCAAACAAACGAAATTTTCACGCCGACTTCTGCTCCTATCATGTAACCTCTTGCTCATCGTACCAGAGAACCAGGACTCTCTCGGAAGGAAGGGCAAAATCCAGAAGCAGCCCGCAAACTTGATCCACTACGTGGAGGATACCAGATGGTTGATCAAAGTGACTTACAGCTACGATCGCTATCCTTGACAATGGCCAAATTCAGCAGGCTCTGAGGCGTCAACGTCGCATGTAATTCCAAGACCTCGTTAAGCGGACCTAGCCTTGACAGCGTAAATTTGAAAGGACCCTAGAACACCATCAGTCTATTCGGCACGCCAATCCAGATGAGATTAAAGAGTTGGGGAAAGATAAGACTCACCAACCCATGCATTAAAATCAACGTCTGCAAACTCACTCACGGGAAGTCTCACTGACTCTTTGGCAGCACCACAACAACTGCCCTGACCTGTGTCCGAGGACTGCTTGTAGAGATTTATATCGGCCTTTGCGTCCACAAACAGGATATCTATATTCTGGGATGTTACTTTCCATTTCCTTAACGCACCGCTTCTGAGTACCTAAGGGAAGAGTGAATATACCCGTAAGCCCAACGCTCTCCAACCAAGCCTGGTACTCCGTCACCTGACTTGCCCCCGCAATACAGCCGACGTAAAGTGCCATATCATCCAGGATGGCTACGGGCAGCTCGCGCCGGGCAAGGATATCGCTAATCGCAACGCGGCCCCCGGGCTTTAGTAGTCGTGCGATTTCAGCAAAGACCGCTGGTTTGTCTTGGTGTGGGACAAGATTAATAACGCAGTTGCTGATTATGCAGTCAACTGTGGAGTCCTCTAGCGGGATTGATGTGATCGGGGATTGGATGAAGAAAGTGTTTTGCAGGTTAGAGCGATCTGCGTTTCGGCGTGCGAGGCTTATCATTTCCTGGTGCGGAGTATGTTAGGTTGCGAGATGGGCAGGCAGCGAGCCAAGAGGGTGTGTGGCTGACCTCTGTCATGTCGACCCCAATCGCCTTCCCCTGCGGACCGACCTTCCGAGAGGCGAGGAAGACATCAATACCAGCTCCGCTTCCCAAATCCACGACTGTTTCGCCCTGCGTCAATGATTTAGCCGTGCGGCAACACCTTCTGAGTCGGGCTCCAGTAATCAGGGGGATACGTTTGTAGGAATTCTCACCTCCTTGATCCCTGCAACAGCAACGGGGTTCCCGCAACTAACACCCAGATTCGCCTTCTCAGGGAGCGAGGCCAGATCCTCCTCCGAGTAGCCGAATGCGCGAGCAAGGCTATCCTCAACGCTGTTGGCGTTGCTAAACTGTTGAGTATCGTGGCTTTGTTTTGCTATGTTGCCGTAGCGGACTTGCACCGTATTGTAGGTTTCTTGTGTCATTTTTGTGAGCAGGCTGTGATTGATATGTTTAGAAAATCGCAGGTGGTTACGAGAACAAAAACCTTGAGAAGGATGGTGGAGAGGCGATGTCGCCTTCTTGATATACTGATATGATAATAATAGCGCCTTTTAAAATTATCTAATATGATGCACCTGCAAAATTTACCGGTGGACCAAAATTTACTCGCCCTCGATCGACTCCCAACTTTGGAGAAGGCCTGGATCCGTTTCTTGCTAGGTCCTCAGGAAATGAACGAGCGACCGCCAGTCATTGAGGGCGGCGACGACGGACAGAACTAGTTGGGTCCGCAATAATCCAATGCCCGATGCTCACCCCAGCGCTCAGTGGTCAAGGTCTGAGCGCTAAACCCGATCGAGCCAAACACAAACGGATCCTCCTGTACTGATATGTCCCTCGCGGTACCCTGGGAGCGCGGCAGCGGCTCGCGAGAACTCCGCTACCGTTCCCACAAATCAGGGACCAGGTCCCGAGATGCCAGGGAATCGCGGGATCGGGAAGGACCCCGCTCTACTGCGGGTGGAAAAATTTGGGCTCCTCCTTGAACGGTATGAGGGCTCGTGATGGGCCTGAAGTGTCACAACCCGTGGAGTACAGCCTCATAGCAGTTGGATTATTGCCGATGCCCATATCTATTCATATGCGCGAGGCTCCGTGGCCCGCCAGATTGATGGCAACAAGCCCGATCGCAAAAATTATCTGCATGATTTAGCTAGGTTTGTTCCACTGTGTGTTAATATTGCGTTTGTTTCTGAGGCCAAGGTGTCGAGGTTGAACTCGGAGTAGTCATTAGAAGGTCACCACTGTTGCGCTCTAAGCTATAAAAGAGCTTGTTAAGAGGCTACGCGTCATAATTCCCAGCTCCTATGCGAGCTAATCCAGATGAGGGTGCAAGGATTGAAGATCTCTGGGCGCGCGGGGTACGCGGGGCAGCCAGCCTGAGCTAACATGCTCGCATTAAACAATCTACCAAACTCTCAGGCCAAGCTATACCTACACTGCTGCTACTAAAAGCATTAGGCATTCGGCGCGTAGTCTGTGACCCGCGTCATGGCGACACCCTTCCTCTCTCTCCCCGGCGAGATCCGCAACCAGATCTACACACGCCTCCTAGTCAGCCCCAAGCCTCTAAATTACTTGTTCAGCAAGCAAGGCGTGGCACCCAACATCCTATACACGAACAAGATCATCCACGATGAGGCGCGATCAATCCTCTACGGGTGCAACTGGGTCGACTTCACGGGCGGCTATCTTGCGACGCTGGACTTCCTCCGGCGCATCGGCCGCGACAATGCGGTACTCATACAGTCTATCCGGATCTTTTTCCCTGCTTTTCCGGTCGGGGAAATGTTCAAGGATGACGGCGGCGGCGACAGCAGTGGGGAGGTAGTCACACGTGATAATATCCAACCGAAGATGATGAGCTTCCTTGCGAGCCACGGGGTTAGCCCGCGAAGGATCACGACGACGTGGCAGAGTTCGGCGGGGTTGGTGAGACAGCTTGATTCTCTTCCAGGTGGTGCGGCTGCTGTTGATGAGAAATTGGCGCTTGTTGATGCGCGGTTTAGACTGGGCGAGTCGGTTCCCAGGGATATTGTCGTGGAGGTATACCATAATGACATTAGTAAGGATGTTGAGAGGGCGATGGAGAGGTTTGGTTGGAAGGTTCGGAGGATCGTGCGGTATTTTACGTCGGATGAGGACAAGGAGGATGCCTTGAAGGCCATTGCACGTGGAGAGTACTTCTACCCCTCAGATATATAGTTTGTAAACATGCATAACAAAGTTAGTCATCTATTCACGTTGACTATGCTATGCGTGGGGCCAATTGAATCTCAGTATCGGCATCTGTTCTACATGTCACATCCCTCGGACGCGCAGTACCGGACCGATATCCCGGCGTACTACATCACGGCCGTCGACAAGGAGACGCTAGGGAATATCCACCTCGGAACAAGCAAATCACGCTTGCGAAAGATGGAGTTCGAAGCATTGCTTAGTTCGAAGCAGACTGCATCGGATCGTCCACTCTTTGACGAGGCTGGGAAAGCCTCGACACTATTCACTGCGCGACCGGCGAAATTGATGGGTAGTCGGTATAACTGGATCCAGGAGGATGGGTCTCAGGTCGCGGTGGAGGAAGGGAAGGACGATGAGGATAAAATGGTTATTGCAGCTCCAATGACGGAGGAGATGCGAGATGCGCTGGTCGCAGTGTGGATGCTGAAGTTATGGTATGAGACGGCCGAAACTAGACAGGCCAAGCGAGAAGGTCAGTTCCCTGTCGGGCCTGGGTTGAACGTGGCTAACTCCGTCTCAGAGCTAGAACGAATGATGCCGCCTGTTTCTTCCTATCAGGACTGGAACTACGCGAAGAAAGTTGGGACACTTGGAGGTTTCGCTGGTGCTGGTGGTGGCGGTAATGGTTGCTGAGGTTCTATGCTCCGTGTACAACCGGGGAGGTAAGTCAACATGCACTGCTTCATGACCATTCAGCGCTTAGATCACCGTTTGCGACATGTAACTGTGCGTGTGTGTATATAGAAACCCAAAAGGATCATCCTGTACTGATATGTCCCTCGCGGTACCCTGGGAGCGCGGCAGCGGCTCGCGAGAACTCCGCTACCGTATCAGGGACCAGGTCCCGAGATGCCAGGGAATCGCGGTATCGGGAAGGACCCCTCTGCTTATACAGTTGATATCGAGCACTTCTTTTTATTCAATGAGGGCCTTCAACATAATACCGATTGAACCAGAGTCTGCCAAAAGGATTGACCATCAACTGGCATGACCGTCGAGATATCGCACGTGGACGTCTCTCTTTAGATCCTGATTCCTTCGAATATCTTTCTTCAATCTAGTATGTATATGTACCATGCAATGTTACAGTGGTATCAAGCCCACAGAGGATTTAAGAAATAAGTTACACAAAATAAACGCGTCGATAAAGGAAATTGTTGGGGTACCAGCCCTTAATATGCAGTGTCAACAAAGGCAAAGAGGGGATCCTGGTCCACAAATGCTTTAGGTCGCAGGTGTATTGGAAATCTAAATTGGGCCGAGGGCGGACAATGGGCGGCGTGAGACAGTTCCATGCTTTCTCTCAGCATGGTTCATCAATGCCGATTTACTCTCCAAGTGCTCCTCGCAGATGCTGCATTTAATCCGCATGTCTTTCGGATATGGTATGACATGAATGTCAACAAAGTGACGGGTGAGTGACCCAGGTGTACAATAGTCTTTAGACCGCTCATGTTCCGGCATATGAGGATTTCCCAGACAGAGAAAGCAAATCGTCGGCCGTTCCTCTTTCTTTTCAATGCAGACAGACGCAATCGCTTGAGAAATGGTGGTCTGTGGCCCATCAGACGAAGGGCATCTTTGCCTTTTTGCGGAAGGAGCAGACGATAAAGAATCCATGGCAGGACGCTTCTGTGCAGGGTTTGGTCGTCTCGTGGGTGATCCCTCCTCCACGTCACAGAAAGCAATGACCGCATTGATTGCGGCAATCCGGCGCTGGTATTCCTTTTCGACAGTGACGCCCGGCATGCTCAAGATATTATCGAGCAGGATCATATGCTGCGGGGTCATATACCCTGTTCGCTCCAGAGCACCCTTCACCTCGTCATCCAAGAACTTCCCGGCAAGTTGCCTCTCGCAGTCAATCACTGGCTGCTCGTTCTTATATCTTTCCAGATTCTCACGCACTAAGCGGTTACGTTGCCGTTGCCACTCATTCCGAGACACACGCTGCGCCCGGAGATGCCTCCGGGCCGCGCCTCTGTACTCTTCCTCGGACTTCGCCACACGGTCAAGCGCCTGTCGAGCGGGAGCTGGTAGCTCCTTCTTCACTTTCTTCTGATTCTGGTAATCGCCGAAGCGTCGCTCAAAGTCCCGTTCCGCCATCTCAAAAGCCCGCTTCATCTCGTCCCGGAATTGTTTTCTTTCACAGACCCGCGTCTGCAGTGTTCGCACGCGCGGAATGTTGTTGACACAACTAGTGTCCTCGAGCTTGTACGGTCGGCGGGGATCAATCGACCGGCTCATGGATGCTGCGAACCGCATCAGCTGTTTCTGAGCCGGCAGTCCCCGGACAATGGCCTGGGCGTCAACATGGATGCCCACGCTATAATGTTTAACGAAGGTGTCGATGTTCGCATGCTGTAACATCACGTTCTGGAGCTCGTTCGTCACATCCGCTGTTCGACGAAGGAGACGGCAGTGTTAGTAAGGACATGATCGTTTTCGATGTGAACAAACCAGATAACTCACAGCTGTCATTAAATGCTTTCGCCGCCCCATAACGGAGACCATACGGCTTTGTGACCTGTTCAAACCCAGTGATTTCGCCTCCCCGTTTCATTCGATATCGCAGCGCTCCTTCCGTTAGTCGCTCCTCCAAAGCAATTCGAAGTCCGTCGGATTCGCGCATTCCCTGACAGAACACAAAGTGATCGAGAATTTCATCTTTCAATCTCAGCGGCTGTTCTCCAAGTCCATCCAAAACACCAAGGTTATACAGATTTTCGGGACAGTTTAACACTAGGCCGTCTTTGGAGATATTCTTGAACGCCTGGATACGGAACAGCATCCCGAGAAGGAACACATGAGGACTGAGGACCAATGTCGGGTCAAAGACGATTTCGGGAATAGGGAAGGTATTCCTATTCCATACACAATTAGCTCTATCTGGCATGCGACTTCACGCGGAGACAGCGACGCTACAATAAAAAAGGGATTGCCCAGGACTCACTCTTCCTTCTCGCCCAGAAACGTCTTGGTAAACCTTGGGGTCAAGTAAATAAATAATCGTGGGCGCCCTCCGTCCGGGTGACGGATGAGAGTCAGCTCAAGATCCCGATAGCGTAAGTTCAGCAGAGCCCCAGGGCGGCTACCGGTGATGGCCGCCAGCTGGCAGAAGAGGAGGAGTTGGATCCGAAGCCACCCGAACTGGAAAGTCATCTCCATCGTCGACAATAGCACGCGAGCGAACTCCGCCACATCTTCGATGTACATCGTCGCTTTCGGTCGGCGTCCAGAACGGAGGTCCTTCTCTCGAGCAACGATCGCCAGTACCTGTAACTCATCAGATGAGACTATAATTGATCCGATCACCGGTCGCTTACATCCAGAATCTTGACAATGAGGTCTTTGCTTAAGCCGTGGCCTACCTCTGCCTTGTAAACCAGATGCCACCACTTCCAGAATGTCTCCAGTGAGCTTTTGTATCGTATTCCTGGTGTCCGGCCCCCTTTTTTGTTTCGTCGCCGACTGCATCGCCACGAGAAGAAAGCTTTGAAGAAACGGACTGTCTCCTCGGAGTCGGAAAGCCAACGGAAACGTTCGGCAGGGTCGTAGTTGCCCTCGCGGCAGAACCTAGAGAGACACGCTATCTGTTAGCACCAGTCTTGAGACTTGGATCCCGGCTGTTTCTCACCGGTCCCAGTAATCCCGTGTCTCGTCCAACTTAGCCTGGGTCCTTGGGCTGTAGCGTTTCTGCCGTAGTTGGGAGACGTCGAGACATTCAGCCTCCTGTAAGAAGTACGCCGCAGGGAGTTCCCGTTCCTCCTCATCATCCAGGATCGAATCGTCGTCAGAAAGATCTTCCGGGTCGTTATCACTGTCTGGCTCAGACGCACTGTCCGAGGATTCATCGGTAGCATCGTCGGCGGAGAAGATGTCCGGTACATCGGTGGTGCTGCCGCTGTCGTCGTCGGACCCGACCGGTTGAGGGGAGTGCCGCATGGCAGACAAAGGAGCTGAGAGGAAAGGATGCCTGGATAGAAATAGAGAGTAGGTGGCAGAAGCGGATCTTCTCTTACCCGTTTGAAGCCGGCAGAGGAGAGATGAATGTGGGCGAGGTGGATGGCAGTTGCTCGGAAGTGGAGGAGGGGAGGGAGAGAGTCATGGGGGGCGAAGGCTTTTAAGAAGCATAGCGAAGAAGACGGTCGCGAGGGGAGCCGTTTTTGGCTCCCTCCCCAGAAGGCCTCGCTGGGGAGGGAGAGAGAGGTATGGCTGAATGACGAGCGAGCCCTCCGACGGCGGCTACACGAGGTGTGGTCGTCGAAAGAACCAGGCCAGGCACGAAACGACGGGGGAACCAACTAGCGCAGGGCGTGGGAGTAAAGGCCGCTGGGCGTGCGACTACTTCCACGTGACGCCAAGGCCGCCGAGCGTTAGCAGGACGCTCAAAACGGCGTCAAGTGTAGCCGTTTCGGGCGTCCGGCTAACTGTTTCACCGTTAAAAGGAGTATTCCTAAAGGCTTGCATCTTTCGCGTGAATTCGTAGTAGTTTGTGTACGTAGTAGTATGGTACTATTCATCCTTTATAGGTAGTCACGAAAGTAGAGGTCTCTTTAGGGGTGGAGTATAGGGTGATAACTCTATATAAGCGTGCTTGCGAAGGGGCACTATAGTGGTTTGCCCTTAAAGGATTATGATGTATTCCACTTATTATAGTTCCTTAACTTAATATCATAATTCTTTAGTAGTAAGGCTCACGAGGTCTTTAATTTTATTTAGATTATTCTCGTGAGGGGTTTGTTAACTAGGTGTCTTGAATATTACCCCTAAATTAGTAGGCATGAGGGTGGACGTCTACGAGGATTCTAAGCCTTTGCTAATTAAGGATATTATCCCTTCTCGCGAGGGATGGATTATATTCTAGGTTCTAGAGGGGCCTGGTTCGCTATCACAAGGTATCTCATCGCGAGGGTTCTGGCCATGTCGTGACCCTACTCGTGTATTAACTATTATTACTCCTAATAGACCACTCATGGTGATGAGCATTAAAATTATAAAGGTCCTTGGCCTTTTAGAGATTTGCGAGTAGTGTGAAAGGTTATAATAAGAGTAGATAGGTTATCGTGATAGGTTTATTCCAAGAATAAGGATCTAATAGTAGATTAATGCTGAAGGTTAGAATCAACCCTTCGCGAGTAGAGGAAATTCTCTATGGGCTTAGTCAGCCCGCGGGCTGACTAAGGACCATGGGTTGGAAATATCTAAGTACATTCGCGAGGGCCTTACAATAATCCAACCTAATAATTAGGTTAATAATTAGATAAAGAAATACAACAAAGCATGTCTTACGTGGAATAGAGAGACTAGTATTAAAGGTCTTAGAAAAATTATTAAAGATATTAAGCTAAAGCATGATAGAGGATACTCTATAAGTTTTAATAGGAGGCATAGCTTAGTATTAATATAGGAAAACCCTCTCTTTACACGCTAAAATTAGAGAGTAGCATGATTAATAGATAATCATAAGATCCTAGATTTAAAGGAGAAGTTCTACTAAGATCCTTTAATAGTTTAGATTAGTAACAAAATAATTATAACTCGCTATAAGACTCGTGAAACTTAGACTAAAACCCTGCTTAAAAGTAATATTAAGGATGAAGAACCTTATAGTTATGAACTAGCTTATATAACTTACTAGGAAGATTTAGGAAAGATATAGTAAGATTATATTTTAAAATATAAATAATATAGAGATTAGATATTCTTAGAATACCCTAAATATGGAAAAGTCAACATTAAATTTACTAAAGAATATAAAAGAGTATTAAATAAATAAGGAACTAGTTTATATAGTAGAATTCTAGGTCACGTGTACTAATACTCTTATAGATACTATCCTTAGTTAAGCAAGAAAGCACACTAAGAAATTTATTAGATAGAATATTATAATAAAGATTATACTTAATATTACTAGTATAAATTTAAATATTACTAGATACCATAGCTACCCAAGGTACTATTAAGACCCAACTTTAGATATCCTCTTAGAAAAGATAACTATAACTATATAGGGGAGGAACAAGGATACCTAAATTATATAAGACTTAGTAGCTATAACTATAAGGTTAAGAACTACGCATTCTACTATAAGAAAGGGAGATTTGAACCATGAAATTAGAATAATATTCTATAATAATACTATGAATGGCACTAAAAGGAAGTGAACCTTTTTTCTATAGAAAATAATAAATTAATTATAATTATTATAAAGTTAAATAGGTATAGTGCAAGAATCTTGCTAGATTTAGAATATTTAGAATAGTTCTTAAGTGAAAGATTTATTAGTAATAATAGTATACTAATAAGACTAGCTAGGTATAACTTAAGAATCTATAGATTTAGAGGAAAACTATTACACAATATACTAGCACTCGTGATGGATAAGGTATAGTTTAATAGTAAAGAACATTTAGAAAATTTAAAATTCAAGGTGGTACTAACTATGGAGTAAGGATTCTATAATAGTATTATTAGGATGATATAGTTACACATGCGAAACCTAACTATTAACTAGATAACTAGAAATATTTAGATCAAGGAACATTAGTTAAGAACTAGGAAAGAAAGATATAAAATATATAGATCTAGGTTACTATAGGAGTATTAGGGAAAACCCTACTAGAGCCTACTAGAGATAATAAAGTAATAGCTTCAAGGTCTAAGACCTATAAAATAGAAATAATAAAAGAAGATATAGCTATATAACTAAAGCTAAAAGAAGTTTATAAAAGGGAACTTACTAAAGTTTTAGAGAAATTACTAAAGAAATACAACAAGTTTATTAAACTATTTATTAAAAAAGAATATTAACTACTATAACATGACAAGTGCTATAAAGCAAAGATACTATTAGTTAAGAGAGTAAAAAATAAGCTTAAATAATTATAGTAGTTTAGAAAGTCACTAAAAGAGCTATAACTAGAATAAAAGTTTATTAAGGAATTCTTATAAGTGGGATATATTTATAAAACTAACTTATAATACTCTTTATAGCCAATATTTATCCTTAAGAAAAATAGAAAGAAGTAAATAGTTATTAATTTCTAATAATTAAATAATCTAATAATTAATAATGCGAACTAGGCGCCTTATATATGATAGAAGAGGGACTTGCTATAAGGAGCTAAATAATTAACTATCTTTAATATTTAATAGGGTTACTATAACCTCCTATTAAAGAAAGAAGATTAGTAGTTAATAGTATTTCTCATAGACTTAGGATTATATAAATAGGTTATAGTACTAATAGGACTCACATGATTACCTACTAAGTTTACTAGGTTCATGATACATATCCTACGGAAATATCTTAATAAAATAGTCACTATCTACTTTAATAATATTATCATCTTCTCTAGAGATCCTGAGGAGCACGAGACACATATACGCGAAGTTATATAGATAATAATAGAAGCTAGACTCATAATAAGCATCTAGAAGTATATATTTAACATAATAAAGGTTAAATACCTTAGAATAATCTTTACGCAAGATAGATAGAAGATACTATAAGAGAAAGTTAATAAGATCCTTAAATAGCCTATGCCAACTAACAAGACCTAGGTTAAGGGATTCTTAGGAATCATAGGATATATTAGGGAGTATCTCTATTAACATACCAAAACTACACGACTAATAATGAAATTACTACGAGATAATAAACTATTTATATAGGGAACTAAGTAGTAAGACGCTTTTAAGAAGGTTAAGTAAAGTATAAAAAAAGCACTAATTCTATTACCTACTAACCTAGAACTATAATACTACATGAAAATAGACGCCTTAGGAGGAGTAATTAGAATAGTCCTTAAGTAAAAGAGAGAAGATAGGAAATTATAACCCATAGCTTTCTACTCTTAATAGATAACTAATACTAAATAAAGATATAATACTTATAATTAGGAAGCCTTAGTAATTATAGAAGGTTTTAAGAAGTAGAGACACTACCTTAAAGGAGCAAAGCACAAAGTTATTATTTAGACTAATTATAAGAATTTAACATACTTTATGATAATAAAGGAACTCAAGGGATAATAAATTAGATAGGCTTAAGAACTTTCATGATACTAATTTAGGATTAAGCATATTAATAAGAAAAAGAATATCACTATTAACGTGCTAAGCCAGAGACTAGATTATATAGTTAAAGTTAAGAATCCTAATAAAGAAGGTAATATAAAGGCCTTAGTAACTTCTATATTAAAGGCCGCCTATAAAGAACTTTTACTATTTAATATAGTAACTAACTAACTCTTTTCCTTTTCCTTAATTTCCTTTTATTTCTACTCCTCCTTCTTAAGCCTCTTAAGCTCTTTAATTTCCTTTATATTATAAGAAATAAAATTACTAGTATGATAGCTAAGAAGTTATTCTTACTTTTAGATTTATTAGGAATAGGCTAATAGGGTTTTAATTTAGTCCTAGATCTCTAGCTCCTTTATATAAAGCTCTTATTAGGCTCTTACTAAATATTTCCACTCTACATTAGAGAATAAAGGTTCTAAATTAATATACTTCTAATATACCTTTATATATTCCTTATAGTAACTTAAGTTTTTAGATTTAATACATGTTTTATTTAATTAAGAATACTAAACGCATAGGATTACTATTATAAAGCCACACTCTTTAATTTTTTATTTAAGATTCATGCTATGACTAGATAAACTAGAAGACATGGTAATAGATTAGTCATGGGTACATAGCAAAGAAAAGAAAAGAGGATTAAGTAATAGGATCTAACTTACCTAAGGATACTACGCTACTTATATCTTTAAGACAAAGACCTTAAAAGAGGGGGATTATTAGAGAGCTATACTAAGATATAAGATGCTATCAGCCAATAGATTTGCCTAGTAAGATTATAGTATAATGAGATATCATAAGTCAACGTGATATCACATCAATGCTAGAATGAAAGGTTAATCTAGCTAATTATATTAGACGATTTAATACTACGACTAGATAGGGCTATGGTCATATTAGGGAGTTTAACAGAACATAGCAGGTGCTATAATGGGACATATCAGGCGATATGATGGACACTATATTTAAGGACACTCGTTCACGTATGTAATTAGTTTTAGCTACTATCTATTACTTTTAGAATTAAAGCTACCCTACCTTTCAGAAACCCAGTTTACCTTCTTAGTTTATTAAGAAGCAGTCTTCTCACATTAATATAAGAATACCTTAAGCCCTTCCAGGCCTTAAGCAGGATCGGTTGGACTTATCTGACATTAAGGTATTACTCTAGAATATATTAATTCCTAATAAAATACTACTAGACCCCTTACAAAGTAAAACTAAAGCTATAGA